CGCTTCCTCGATTCCATTACTAGTCAACATCAACCAAACAGTATCATGGTGTTTACACAACACCGTTATTATATTTACTTCAACATCATTATTGCTAGTTTTCATCCCTTTAAACTTATATCAAAACTTCAGAAATCACAAATAACGTCTAATATCAGAAGCACTTCATATCAAGTGGAATCAAAATTGCCTGAATAGGAATGATGGACTAAAACAGAATTTGACCTGGTTACAACACCCCCGTCCCCCATGAAGTGACAAAATCAACACGAATGTGATAAGCAATATCATTATATAAACACACGATTTTTTTATAATTTTACACACTTATCAAATCCAACAATCTACACCTGGTTTTGTTATCTTTATCAGTTGTCCAATTTGACAACGAAAAATGACCCCATATTGACGAACGATGATCAAGTTAGTAAACTTTGTTTTGATACAGTAGCAGATGTACTATTACCTTTGTTATTTGGTTTAGTGATCATTGTTATTTTGACCTTCAATATGTCCTTTTAACTTGACCTAAGTCTGTTTTCTCACCTCTTAATTCTTTGTTAAATATATGCTGAGATTTTGTAAATTCTGCATTAAATAACGAAACATCAGTAAAAACAATATCGTTTTGTTTTCATTCATTGGGAAATACAAAAAGCTTTATTATAATGTATGCTATTTGTTTATTTTTTCTGTAGCATTACCCTTGTCTCTCACATCACTGACTACAATTTGATCTTGTTGATTATAAATTCACAAACACTTCACTGAAAGATTTAATTTCATGTCCTTATTGACCATATATTTACCTGTTCGGTTGATTATTTCATTTTATACTGGTATCATTATAAAGTTTCGGATGTAATTTTGTTATGCCTTTACCATCTCTTGTACTACAACGTTCATGGATATATAAATTATTATATCTTTGGACAGGATATTATGAAGACGTAATTTACCTGAAACGTGTAATATTTGGTTGTGCAAAACATTTCCGACATTCCGATCACACAATTACTCATCATACATATATACAAAGGCAACAGATCATAAGGGATCACGATTCTCTTTCAATATAGGTCATGGTCACAGATGAAGAGTAGGGAAATGAGGCCGAAATAAACCTAGTGGGAGAAATGAATTAACAAATCAAGTTCAGAGAAATGACAAATAATCAATTGGTAGAAGGTGACTAGCAAGGGAATCCAGGATGCGCGTTTCGCCCTATCTGGGGCTCCTCCCTGGATGTACCTGCATTCTCCATTGAGTGATAGTATTCTCATCGAGTTCCTTACCCTTTTCCCGTAGTTTCAAAGGCCAATGCGTTATCCATTAGCCTACTTCGGCCGCCAGAGTCACTTCTTCTGCAATTTATATTTTTCCGTCAAATCAGTGTTCAAATAAATTTCGGAAGTAATCATGCAATTTAGTTTAACAGGATCATCTAATCTCATGATAGTGCAAAGAGGGAATTTACTCTTCAGAAATTCGGATCATTCCCTTTATGTATTTCAACAGAATATTAAGAAGCATTATTTATAAAAATGGCTTGGACATGTTATATGTGTTTAAAAATCATTTTCCGTAACTTTGAACCTGACTTAGTGACGCGAATTTAGAACCAAGGTTTATTTAAATCATTAATATTTCCACAACGGGTTTATTTTGACCTCATTTCCCTACCCCTCATCTGTGACCATGACCCAGACACATTCTGTCCTATATGATGAGTACTTGTGTGATCAGAATGTTGGAAATGCGTTGCACAAATACACATTACATGTTTCAGGTAAATTACGTCTTCTTAATGTTCGTCGGAAGTTAGAAAAGGAACTAATGACTATACCCTTGTCATTCTTAATGTAACCTAAAGCTTCTACTTATTATTTACATGTTAATCAATCTTTGGTGGCCTGCTTGGAACTTGGGCTAGCAAAATCCTCTGTCACTTTATTGCACAGAATTCCTCTTGCTAACTTTGTTTAAATCGATTAAATTATGAACCCAGTTGGTATTATTTTCTTTCGCGAGTATTTAAAATGCTTACAACCTGCTAATTTTCAACTTTCAAATCGATTTGAGAAGAAGCACAATCAGGGGTGGCAACATTATATCCAAATACATGAGATGACTGTTCCGGTGTAATACACTCGGGTCTCAAGATGTACTTGTTCATTAATTTATAAGTGCCTTTCAACCAAATGCCCTGCATTTCTCGGAGACAAAACAGAAACGTCACAATGAACTGGACTGTACTTCAGGTCAGACAGCACTGTGTCACATGGTCCACTATCGATTAATATTTTATTTGAAGATCCTGGACTAGGAGAAAATAGCATGAAATAACCTCCTCTGAAAATTCTTTACATGATATGGAAACTTCCCAGAATATAGGTATTATTATTGTTATTGGTTTATAAATATATTTTACCGGAATACAGTTCAATCATATCATTCCCAGTTTAAGTAAAATTACGGGATATTCATCATGTCTTGGTTTTCTGCCTGTGTTCTACCATGTATTTCTGAATATTTGTTGGTATAACCACCTTTTATTCATTACTTTTTTCATCATATGTTTCCCTACTGTTTATCACTGGTGCTAAGTAAAATATTATCATAGCTAGTTGTTTAATTCATAGCTGTGACCCTGTTAACAACTCGCTATGACCGTTAACTTTTATGCGTGATTCAGAGATAAAAGGCTTGCCAACACCGCATGTGGTCTGGGATTCGATTCCTGACTAATTCACTCCTTAACCTCACCTAGTCTCTAGTAAGCCCGAATAAGAGGAAACGTTGGACATGAGACCTGCAAGCCTAACCCATATAACTAAATAACACTGTCACTGAAATTTCACAGCTCTAACGTGAAGCGCCATTTTCCGCTGAGAAGGAGAACACATGAAAAATAATTTTTCCTGTGAACGACCTTTATCTGGTAGAAGGCAATATTATATTCAGTCATGTCTTATTTTCAACTTCTGTTCATTTAGTGGGTTTCTACCCAGCTTTTTCCTGTGTCTTATATCTGTGTAAAATAGTATACACTCATCGATAACTGATAGCGTATTTCTTTATTGTGGTCTTATCACTAGAAAAATATGAAGTCAGTTTCGATTTCCATTATGTCTAACTCCTTTAATTTTTGATAGGGATGTAAAAATGTATCATTTAACATGATTAATGGCAATCTATCGAATTCTATTTCTAGCATTTTAATTAGTCATATTTATGAATCGAGTTGAATTAATGGGAAATCTGTGATATATATAGATATAGATATATTTATGGGTGGATGTTAGTAGTTGAAAGACATTCAGTGTCTCAATATCTACTGCCTACTGAATCTGGTTGTCTCAAGAAATAACTGAATCAAGTTTTGTTATTATTGTGATTATGAAAATATCTATGATCCTGGCGAAAGCGTGATTTAATATGAAGCCGCATTTAAAGTCTTTTTTCTTCCCCTATCTCGGAAAACACTCATCAGATAACAGGAAATATTAAAAAGACTGTCGCGGCGAAGAAAGTCTTCCTCTTGACGAAGTTATTGCTGACTACATTGTACATTCGTGTTTTTATAGTGAAAGGGTAAAAAGGTTCCGGAAATAATCGCGGTCAAGGGTCAGATTGATAAAGTGGAAAATAGAGGCTAAAATGTAATAATACACTGGAAGGTCGGATAGAAAACTTTTTGGAAGCATAATTACTGTCAAAACTAACCCTGTATGTGCAAACAGAGAATAAAAAATATGGTAATAAGAAAATGGACAAGTTGAGATATAAAGATAATAGTGCGAATAGAGATTGGGAAAGGTAAAAATAGCAGAAATAAACAGGAAAGCTGGATAATAAAGGCAGGACTGACATTTTATGATGATAATGCCACAGACAACAGTTGGATACATTTTTGAGAATACATAGCATAAGCCTGACATTCAGGATGGCTGGTGCCACAGCCACACCCAGACGCCTTAATCTCACTCCGATTCAGGAGGTCCAATAGGATGTTGCACATGTCTTTGAATGACTTTTCGAATAGGGCTGTAAGTCCCTTACTGCACAAAAAAGTGAATTTCTTGAGTAAATATGATCCTGCTATGTTTTTTATCCGATTAAATTTTAATCTCTATTCACAATTTTATTGGTATGAACCTTGACTGGGAATAATTTTGGAGCCTTCTCACTCATTTACTATAAACAGACGAACTTACAGAGTACCTAATTCTATTTGGACTTTCTCATTGGTTGGTTTAACCGTATAATTCGGCGTCTGTTGACATATCTGCACCTTTTTGCCAATGCTTCTACTATCCTGAGTGGATTTACCTTGAAGTAATTGGGTTGTTGGCCACTGTCAGTGGAATCCAGAATGCGCATATATTATAGTCAATGGGTTTGTCGAAAAGAAAAAAAAATTCGTCTCTTTAACCATCTTTTTAATATTCTTTTGCTTATCTAAAATATATGTTTACACTAACATTATTAATGTTGATGCACTTTCTTCATTCCAGCATTAAGCCATGATATCACTGTCTGTTACTTCTCGTTTTTATAATAGTAAAACTTTCAGCTAATCACTTTCGCAATTATAATTCCATGGTATTTGTTTATATATCTAATATATTATACTGTTCATTCCAATGTTTATTCAAATTAATTTGGTTTTTTGGACAAATTGAGGGAGGGAGAGAAAGATGGTTGGGTATTATCTTTAGTTTGCAATAAAACTCCGTTTTGATTGATGTTCGTTATCAGTAGTAACTAGATAAAGTGTTTTGCTTAATTTGATTTCACTGGTTGACAAAAAATGGGGCAATGGTTAATTGCCTTAGTTCTACATGTATATATATATATATACCACAGTATAATATTTGAATTTTCCGCAATACAAAATGAAAATGTATTAAATGCGGAGAAATATCCTAGTTTTTGTTTTTTTGAGTGAACAATTTTCGCCTAGTTTCTTATTTCCATTTGCCTCTTCTCTTTTTTAGACTGTCGATGTTATGTATTTGACAGTAGAATGCATAAATCTGGTACATTTAAAACACCAAGTTATCCAAAAAAGTATCCATATGAACTGGATTGTTTAATGTATCGTTTTCAAGGACTGCCGACAGAATTGGTTAAACTTACATTTTGGAGTTTCAGTTTAAGAAAGCCTATTGATAAAAAGTGAGTTAACGTGTCCCTAACAAAATTATTACTCTATCTTATTCTACTATTAATAGCTGTTATACAGTTAACAACTCAATAATATTAGAAGTTTTACATTTTAATGTTAATAAAAACATTGGATCAAACGAATCTGCAATTTGCGAATTAACCTTGAGATTTGTGATCTTGCACCGTTTGAAGAGGGGGAAATTTGAACACCGATTCCGTTGCAAACCGAAATTATTAAGATAAAATTATGTGATCTGAGTGACACCATAATAATAATTATTTGCTTTATTCCAAAACAGTACTTGTGATACGGAATGGAATTCTCAGCATTTTTACTACAGCATTGCATCCAGTTAGTACATTATTAATAAATAAAATTTTACATAGATTAAGGAAACTACAGTTCATTATGACAACAACATTTTGGCATGTCGGTAGCAGAGCCAAAGTTGAACAGTGTTTGAAGGTGTTAGAAAAGTGGGAGCTGTCTTATTAACTGGCGTAAGCGAGAGAGAGAGAGAGAAAAGGAAAATAAAGTAAGAAAATGCTGCACCTATAAATGATATGAGTTGGAAAGACGAGGTCCAGTTTTACTACTGACTATATAATGAATTATGGGTGTCACGTTTAATGCTTTCTTTATGGCACAGAACACGAGCTAAGTAGGGTGTGGTTGAGTTTTTGTACTTGCTGGTGCTAGCATATAGTTTTCTATATAGGCTTCTGGTTTTGCTTGATGAGATTCAAGGGGAAAGTTGTGAGTGAAGAGTGTGTTGTGAGTTAGACAGAATGGATTTGGCCCATTTTTCACTTGAGTCCATGTGCATGTCGACCAGAATATTAACAAGCTGGTTAAGTGGCACGTTGCTTACCCTGCCCACAACCTTTAACATCCTGCGTAATATGTTATAGTCTTTCTTCAGTAGCCCAGGAAAAACTAAGGGGGAACAATAGAGAATAATAGGCAGAATGGGAGAATTAACGAATTGTAGGAGTAAGGGTTGGGTTATACCAGAATGTTTTAACTTCTTAATGTAGAAGGTAAGACGGAATATTTTCTTAGAAATCGCCAAGATATGAGACGACCAGGAGAGATCAGCAAATAGAATGACGCCTAGGTATTTAATTTCCGACTTGGTTTCTATTTCAATGCCATCTCTGTTGCACACCTCGTGAGAGCCAACCAGTGTGTTTAGGTCGGATTTATGCCTAAAGGTGAAATTGACTGTTTGGCATTTGGAGGGGTTTAAGGTAAGACTGTTTTCCTTTGACCACTGGCTGATTTCTGACAGAAAGCCATTAAGTTTAGAGCAGTCACTTTGACATTTGACAGGCAAAGATACAGTCAGGTCGTCAGCATATTTGACAAAATTAATGTCATTTGAAGATGGTAAGTCATGTAGAAAGAAAGAAAAGAGGAGTGGGGAGAGTACAGCACCTTGTGGGACACCAGCTTCAGTGAGTACAGCAGAGGAGGATTTACCTTTATACACGGTGTACTGCCTTCTGTTAGAGAAGTAGGAGTGCAGCCAATTAGTGACCCAGGACTCAATTTTTGCCATAGAGAGCTAATCGATGCTAATCGAGAAGACAAACATAGATGTTTGACACGGGATACTTATGACTGCTTTACTTGAGTCGCTGAACACAAGACTGAAGTGATCTAAAGGAAACCGTTGTGGAAATTAAACTCGAACTGAGTAAATAACAAGAGGTGAATAAATTCGCAAATTTGCGAATTTGATTTAACATGCTACTAACTTATACAAATGGATGACTAGATATTGGATGGCCGGAACTGATTGTGTTCTTTGAGATGAGTCATACCCTGGCACATGGCTTATGAGCTTGGCTAAAAACGAGTGGTATTTACATCACTTAGGTCTAACTAGCAAGAGATACTGATTGATATGAATGGTGTTCAACTACTTATATCAATCAATCAGTAGTATATTAAGATAGATTACCGTTTGAATGGTTGCATGATACAGCTGTTCCGGACTGTCTTCTTTTTCCGTCAGTATATTTACACAATTTTCTCTGTAAACGAATTGAAGAATGCGTAGTCTCAGCTTAAGTGCGATTTTCGTCAGGCTTTGTTCTACTAATGGAGGGCAGAAAAGGGATTTTAAGGTCCTGGATAATTCTGCGGGCGATTCGCCTCATTAATAAGCTTTCACATATATTCTAAGAGTCTCTTTTTGAAAAATTAATTTCCTTTGACTGTACAGTAGCAACTTAAAGCCAAAGATTTCAAAGTCATCCTTGCAGAAAAAGAAACTTTATGTGAGCTCTGATTTTAATAGTGACCTCTTAGAAAGGAAAACTTATTTTTCTTTAAGAACTTTCTTCGCAGCAACACGGGAAGTATTGTTCTCCAGTCGTCCATTGTTGTGCAGAAGCCTAAAGAACAAGATCTCGCACACGACCACTTCTGTATGTATATATCAGTTCACCTGTTCTTGTGAAGCCAGGTGTATTGGTCTTTCAGGGCGGAGCCTGTATAAAAGGGTTCAAAAACACTATTCCTCATGATTATAAAAAGATAGCAGCAACTTTATAAGGGGTGCAATAACTAAGCACCCTATAGACACTGGTCACGGTATCTCAACAAACTATTCCTTCAAGATGATCTACAGAGTGAATTGTTGCCCGACTAAGACGATCTGCTTTTACCTCCTGGCACTGCTGAAGCTGTAGTTATCCAGTTGGAGAAACCAGAGCAGTGCATACAACATTAATCTCTCATCTACTTTTATTATCATGGTAAGGGACCCATTATCTTTAGCCTAAAAGGTTTACTTGCTGTGTTTCTCTGACTCCTTCTGACTCATCTCTTCTCCAGAATTCTTAGGTAACGTGAAATTTCTATTTGCACTTTATTACAACCTAATTACTAAATTATTTATCTCACCATCTAATTTCACCATCCTTATCCAACTTCTCATATATGCTGAATAGTAATAGCAACTATACTTTTGGCGATCCACCGCTTTCTTACTATCAAGTTTCACAAAAAGAAATCACATGTAAATGCGATTGTACACCTTGAGAAAATGCATTTGCCAAAACGAGATTGATCCCTGAACTAACTGTGTTGTTTCTAATAATGTTTCGATGGGAATTTTTCATGAATTGATCATATTTCCTTTACAAGAAATTGCCTATAGTTCTGTAAGGAGCGACTTGTCAGCCTACTATATTAATCAAGCTAAAAATGGGTATCTGGCTACATGACTCTAAGATGGGTTTCATTTGACTAAAACTGTGTTTGCCTCGTTTAATTTGTCTATTGTGAGAAGTTATTTTATTCATTAATTGTGTCCCAACAGGAATATAAATATGAATTTGGCATCACATCTTCACTGCATTCAGTCGTATGACATCTCTTTCAGATGGATCCACGACTGCTCTTAAGCGTTCATTTAGTCTTTACATGAATAATCACTGTCATAATTGCAACCATAAGAAGTAGCTTTGGATCAGGTAGCTTCTAGTCCTTTGATTATAGCTGGTAATTCTCGTTTCTTCTTCAGTTATCCCCTGCAACACCAGTAAAATTCATTAGAACGGATAGTGTTGAGTGTCAACGAACATGCGACTAAAAAGCTTTGATTCAAGCAAACATTGAGCAGTCGCGGTTCACTGGTGATCGCACACACTCAAACATTTTATCACTATGGAAATGAAAGATACGACGAACTTCCAAAAATAATACTAAGCATGCTAAAAAATGGTTGTAAGCCCAAGTTTTAAAACTAGACAGTAATTACTTTTTTTTGAGAGGAAATAACAGGAATAAAAAATTAAAGCTTTCTTTTTTCATTCAACTTATTAAGTAACTTGTAAATTAAATTAAAGTGTTTATTAAAACATAAAATGTGCATTTTAATTCACCACTTTTTTTCAATTTTTATAATTTTTCTGAGAGATAAAGGGATAACTCTTAAGTACAGTAAATTTAAACAATGAATGAAGTGCTTTAATTAAACATATTTCAAATATTAGGCAGTCATTCTAAGAAGCAGTCTGATTCAAATTCATTTTTGAAGTAAACAGAAACATCCTTAAAATGTTGTCGACTCACTGTTTACACTGCTGTGGTCTGCTTTCCAAGTAGGATACAGAGGTTAAGGCTTTGACGTTCATTTTGTATCTTACAAGGTAAGGTTGATAATCTTACGTCCCAGCTTTCCTCTTTTCGGATCTTACCATCAACTTATAAAATAGGTGAGGCATAGGAGTGCGTCAGAAGAGTATCAAACTCAGGCGAGTATTCTATCAGTGAACCATGGAGGCTTTAGAAAACTAGAATTTGTTCACATTGAAGAAACCTGTTCATCTAACTCTGCAACTTTGAACAAGGTCTGAATCGAAATAATTATTTTGCTGTCTCTACTGTTTTTGAACCTTTCGTTTAGCAGTTTAGTAGCTGTTATCACCTTAACTACCTCTCTGTTCACTCTGTTCGTCTTCTAGTAGCTGTCACTATACTCTTTCTATTGACATCCAATTTTAGAAACAGTTTTTTGTACTACTCAATCTCTAGTATTAGTTAACCAGAATAGAATAATAATTATATTATTATTCTCTTGGGTTCCGAGCGGAACATAGGCCTTCAACAACATATCTTTACTTTCTTCAATTTTCTGCCATTCTCTTCAGCTAGGACCACGATTGCCCATGATCTCCCAACTCTGCCTCACATGATCTCCATGTCACCCTCGCACTGAAGACCCACTTGTCGCTTACCATTCGGATTCCAATCGAACAATGGCCTGGAGCGGTCTGTCATTCGACGGTTTCCTCATTGTTCGCCTGATCCATCTCCATTTTCTCCTACATATTTGTTGAGTGATCGGCTATTGGTTGGTTTGTTCCCAGCTAGAAGATTTTGTTACCAACTCTTTCTATCTTGCCATTTGGTTTTCAGTATATAGCCAGTGAAAATGGCATTGCTTATAAAAGTTTAGAACCTGTTTGAAACCCCTTCCTTCACACGCGGTACA